AAATGGACTAAATATAAGAGTAAGAGCTAGACAATGATAGGCCTGAGCTAATGACCAAGCAGTTTAAATAATGTAAGAGTCTGTGTGTTTATTTTATAAGTGGGCTCCGGGACTGGCGGGACTTGGTGGGAGCTGGAGAGAAATTCTCCAGCTACAGAAGAGTAATTCCCAAAACCAACAACTATGTACAACTATTCAGGAGGAGAAGCCAGGCCCTGCCTGAGTCTAGTAAAGTCACACACACCACATGACAAGGGGTTCAGTGTATAAATGAAGCCTTTTGCCTTTGCCTTGACTTTCTTCAATGACACACACGTCTCAGCTTTCATCTTGGTATGGGCTCCTATTTCAGTAAAACCTAACATAAAAAATTATTAAGTCCTTCTGGCATTTCTAGAAGACACAATTTCAGAGCAAACTCTCTGTTCCTCTGGCTCTTATACTCTTTCCACACCCTCTTCCACAACGAAAGACACCACCAATAGACATGCTAACATAGACAAGAGAACTCTCATAAAGTCGCTACCCTAAAAAAGAACTAACAGGCAATGAAGGAATGTTGAGATGAAGGAAATAGTCGGCCCCAGGGAACAGCACACCAACTGCTTATTTAAAACCAAAAGGTCAGCCCTGAAAACATACAAACAAGTATGGACTAAGCAAGTTGTATGTGCATATTTAGGAATTTTACACACACACACACACACACACACACACACACACACACACACACACACACACACAAACTCTCTCTCTCTCTCTCTCTCTCTCTCTCTCTCTCTCTCTCTCTGCAACAATTAAAGAAAAAGAGGTAATGAATCAGAAAGGGTGGAGTACATGGGAGGGCTTGGGTAATGGAAGGGGGTAATGATATAATTATATTTAATCTCAAAAAATTTTTAGCCAGACAGTGGTGGTGCATGACTTCAATTCCAGCACTCAGGAGGCAGAGGCAGACGGATCTCTCTGAGTCCGAGGCCAGCCTGGTCTACAAAGTGAGTTCCAGAACAGGCACCAAAACTACACAGAGAAACCCTGTCTTGAAAAAACAAAAATTTTAAGTGAGTGCTTTTAAAAATGTAGATAATTGTCTGCATTACAAAGGATCCCACCTGACAAGAAACAGTCACTGCAAGTTTAACTGAAGGTGTACATTCTTTGCTTCTGTCAGCAAGCTTGGCTGGTACTGCAGCATTTCAGTGGTGGAGTACTTTTCCTACCACCTGTGAGTCCCACCCTCAGCACTCCAAAACCAATCAATGTATGATGACTCAGGAAAATGTTATTTACAACTTTCAAAGAATATGCTCATACTATGCTTATTTATATAAGTGACTATTTCCACATCATCTCACTGGATTCCTATGAAAGCACCACAAAACAGGCAGGCAACTTAATTTTTTTTAACTAATGTATTTATAGTTGGGGGGCGTTGAGAGCCTATAGAGCTTAGAGGACAACCTGTGGGGTTGTCTTCTGATATGTCTTCCATCACATAGGTCCCAGGGACTGAGTTCAAGCTGTCAGGCTTGGCAACAAGGCCCTTCCTTAGCTACCACACTAGCCCTGAAGAGACAACTTCAAGACAAGAGACCTAACTTCAGAAAGATTCAGTGACCTGTGCAAGGTCTAGAAATCCAAATGGAAGTGGAACCAGTTGGAGTTTTCATACCACTCAACAGCCTGAAATCAAACCTAGTTCATTAATTAAATATCCGGAGTAAAAGCAAGGGAGTTGGCGGTAAAGTATGTCAACATATGTGATGGCCTGGGTTCCCCCACATAACATATATAAAAATTATCAGATATGATCATTGCCCAAGAAAAAGAGATGATGTTGCTTGTCCTACCTAGCTTTACAACTCTAACCTGCTTTCAATCAATATATTTTTTTATAATAGGAGGAACTTGGGACTGGGTGATAGCCCAGTCAGTAAAGTGCCTGTCACCAAAGCATGAGAACCTGACCCCAGCAACTAGATAAAAAGCCAGGCATGGTGGCTTGCTGGGGAGTGGATGGATACCTGGGGCTCTCTGGTCAACCAGCCTAGCATAACTGGTGAGACCTAAGCCTAGGTAACAAACCCTGCCTCAATACAAAACCAAACCAAGGTAGACAGCTCCTGGGGAACACCTGAGCTTGACCTCTAGCCTCTACGCACGCAAGCAAGCACGCACGCACACACGCACGCACGCACTCACTCGCACACACACACTCATCTGAACACACTTAAACATGCATATACACATGTGTACAGGCACACACAAGAAACAAGGAACTAAGAGACAAAATGAGAAAGACAAAGAAGTATTAAGTTTCTTCAAGACAAGTCATAACAAAGAGCAAAACCCAGAAGAAAGCTAACAAATCTAACCCCAGAGTGATGTGTCTTTCTTGAGGAAGCTTTAAAATGGCCCATGAAGTTGAATTCTCACAGATACTGGGTATTTAGGGGGTAGGGGACATAAATTCCATACTTCAGTAGAGCAAGCAGAAAAATTTCAGCTCTAAAATGTTCACTCTTGTTTACTAGCTGTCAGTTTTGGACCTACTGTATAAAGAAATACAGAATAAAACAGCTCTTTTTACTGAACTTGTTTTAGAAGTTTTCACTGACTGATTCAACAAAACTCAGTTCAGTGTGTCCCATGCCAAGCACTGTTCTAAACACCAGAAATATGGCAATTACCAAGAAAAAAAAAAAAAAAAAAAAAGAAGTCCTGACCTTGTAGCACATATAGTACAACAGAGAAGATACCATACAAATAAACAAACAGTAGGTAAGATGAGAAGAGCAGTAAATGAAAAAAAATCAACTACAAGAAAGAAAAGACACAAGAAAAAAGGAGGAGGAGGTAGAAGGAATAGTGTGCTGTTTTATGTGTGTGGTCAATGGGGACCTAAAAGGGTGTGGGAACAAGTCGTGGGGCCACTAGAGGAAGCCACTTCTGACAGAAGCAGGTAGCAATTACTAAGCCTGAGATGCACTTGAGACATCCACATGGGAATATTGAAGAAATGGCCAGTTGCCAGCCTAGAGTTTGGGGGAGGGCTAGACTTGAGCTATACATCTAAAAAAACATTTGCATCTAAAGCTAGGAGAAGAGATGAGACCACTTAAAAGAGAACGAAAAGAGAAGAACTGATGACTGAGAAGAGGGGTCATGTAAACTAAGGACTGAGATGGGGGTGGGAGAACCTAGCAAAGATCCAAAAGGAGAAGATAATGAAGGAAGGGGCTGCAGAGTGCTGTCCTGGTGTGATGGATAACAGCTTTTTTTTGGGGGGGGGGAGGGTCGAGACAGGGTTTCTCTGTATAGTTTTAGTCCCTGTCCTGGATCTCACTCTGTAGACCAGGCTGGCCTTGAACTCAGAGATCTGCCTGGCTCTGCCTTCAAGTGCTGGGATTAAAGGCGTGTGCCACCACAACGGCCCTGGATAATAGTTTTAAGAAAAGTGATCAACCATGTCAAATTCTGGGATTAAAGGCATGCATCACCACCGCCCAGCTCCATGTCAAATTCTGATGAGGGGCAATCAAGATAGCTGCCACTTGAGTCAGAAGAGTTGGGAATGTTGATGTGGAATAAAAGTTCACAGCAATAAACTCTTTGGTGTCGGACTCTGCTGCAGACCCTTGAATTTGGTTTTGGTCAATGGGGCTTTAGCAAACAGATACAAGCTCGGGCTTGCAAACTGCTTGTACTGTAGACCCTCTTTCCTTTTGCTACTGAGAACTCTCCCCACCACATGAAAGAACATGCTGGAGGTGAAACAGATGGCCACTGCTCAGCTGATACCAAGCCACCTGATACTAACATGGCCAGTCCAATCAGAGAGGACTGGCAGGTTAGACCCAACCAGAACAAATCCAGAGAACTGTGAACAAATAAAATCTGTAAAAGTTCTGTTATGAAACAAAAGCCAACGATAAAGACTGGGACATTAGTAACAGATGAGAGCTGTTTCAATGAGGTAGGCATGGGACTCTCACTGGAGTTGGATTAAAAGTGAATGGATGAGTGGCTGGAGATGGTTTAGCAGTTAAGAGCACTGGCTACTCTTCCAGAGGAACAGGGTTCAATTTCCAGCATCCTCATGGTGGTTTACAACTAACTGACTGTAACTCCAGTTCCAAGGGATCAGATGCCCTCTTCTGGCCTTTTCAAGCACCGGGCAAGAATACAGTGCATAGACATACATATAGGCAAAAGACACATATTTATAAAATAATATTTATTTAATGAATGGATGAAGTCAGGCACAGTGGTGCATGCCTTTTATCCCAGCACTCAGGAGGCAGAGGCAGGCAGATCTCTGAGTTCAGGGCCAGCCCGGTCTACAGAGCAAGTTGCAGGACATCCAGGGCTACACAGAGAAACCCTGTCTTAAAAAAAAAACAAGATGGATGGATGGATGGATAGATAGAAAGAAAGGATGAACAGGGCTGGGGATGATGAAATGTTTTCTAACATGGAGGACCTGGATTCAACTACCTTATAGAAGAGGGGTGACAAATACAAATGAATGGAAAAAATGGAACACAAAGCCTCAGGTGACACCAACTCAGCTTTTGAGGCTTCTCTGTGACAGTGTTTACTAGATGCTCTCTATCTCTTTCCAGAGCTCTACAGCCAGGCACGATGTCAGTAGCAAAGTCCTTCCATCAGAAGTACTTTCTAGGTATGTCTAACTCGAGCACACCTCTGCACACTATGAACAGAAGGAGAGCTGGGGAGATGGCGTCATCTGCTCTTTCACTGCAAGTTTCACCAATAAATTTAACTTTATATTCACACTATCACACACATACAAGCTCATCTCCTCACAGAATATATAACTATCCCACATCCCGCTTTAATATGCCCAGTAACTCTCACTCTCTAAATAAATTCTCTAAGAATATAATCACATTCAAAAGCAATTATAAACATTTTCAAAAACAAAAGCTTTTAAATTGTTATAGTATATTCACTATGTACATACATAAATAACTTACTTCGCAATCCTCAGTTTCCCAACTTCACCTCTTCCAGGAGCTTTAGCCCATTGCTGGGACAAGTATTTAGGAACCTAAAATGAAGCAAAATATTTTACAGATGATTATGAGTACCCAGGGCTCATATACCCCAAGGTTATACAATTAGTATATGATAAAGCTAGGATTCAAGGCCAAACCATCTCCAGAGTCTATGTGCCAGGGACTATGCTCTCAACCATACAAATACTGTGTCTAAAACCAGACACAAAAGTCACCAACGGCTAAATTCTAAGAAAAAATGGAATAATATATTAATTCTCTAATATATAACTTGTCTCTTTTCTTCATGAAATCAGCACATATCGTTAAGGTTATCTTGTTATAAGAAGCAACAGAAGACTACAAATATAGTATGAAGCATCATATGCTGTGTGGAGTAAATACTCAATGAGTATCAGTTGTCATCATTATTTCTCATAGTAATCTTGGAATACTATCATGAACACAAAGGAATGCACAATTAAGATATAGGCATCAGGGCTGGAAGGGGGTTAAAGTCTAGCAAGATTTGATTATGGGGGACAGTACATTGACTACAGTTAAAGTTAAAAAACAAAGGGGTAGAAAGACTGATTGTGTTTATTCAATTCTGTGTAAGCTCATCACATTAACTTACTGAACTACAAATATATGCTAGATAATATGCCTAAGGCTGGAAATGATGAAGGCGAGAAGACAACTCTGTCAGTCACCACACTAGAAATTCTACACCCATCATCCTCAGTCACTCTCCCTAGTCTACAGATGTGAAAACTGACTAGTGATTCCCTAGGGCTAGTGATACAATTCAGCAACAAAGCCAGATCAGACTGTGTACAGTGTATCTCAAAAACTGTATGGATTCTTAATGTTTCTGCTACTAAAGTTTGATAGGGACTGGAGAGAAGACTCAGTGTTAAAAGCACTGGTTCCCCTTCAAAGGTCCTGGGTTCAATTCCCAGCACCTACATGGCAATCTACAACGGTAGAACCAGGGGATCCAATGCCCTCTTCTGGCCTCTGGGTCTTACTATGTTCCTGACTAGCCTGGAACTCACTATGTGAACAAGGTTGGCCTCGCAAGGTCTTGGATTAAAGGTGTGCACCACCATAGTAGTATCTTTGCTTTATAACAAATATACAAGAAGCACAAGTGTTCTAGCTCACACTGAGGCTGAAGGATTACCATGAGTTTAAGGCCACCTTGCGCTACACAGTGAGTTCCAGGTAGAAAGGGAAGAGAGGGAGGGAGAGGTGAAGGGAGGAAAGGATAAAAGGAGGAAAGGAAGGAAGAAAAGAATAGGTTTTCTTTTCTCCTGTTCCTTACAAGACTTTTGCTGTGTTGTCTGCATTAATCAGACTTTTGGTTACTGTGACCAAATACATGAAAGAAACAATTTAAGAGTTATTTTTGCTCCAGGCGGGGGTGGGGGGGGGTGGGGGTGGGTGGGTGCACGCCTTTAATCCCAGCACTCAGGAGGTAGAGCCAGGTGGATCTCTGTGAGTTCAAGGCCAGCCTGGTCTACAGAGTAAGATCCAGGACAGGCACCAAAACTACACAGAGAAACCCTGTCTCGAGAAAAAAAAAAAAAGGAAAAAAAAAGTTATTTTTGCACTGTCAATTGTGGTGGGAAAAGCAAGGGAGAGCACTGCAGCTCACACCATGATGACCAAGATACAGAGGATATAGAAAGGGCCGGGACAAGACCCAGCCCCTAAGAACATACTGCCAGCATCTACTTCTTCCAACTATGCACTTCACTACATTTCACCAGTTCCCAGGAAAGCTATATTATGAATCCACTAAAGGAGTAAATTAATCCATTAATTAAATCACAGCCCTCATGACTTACTTGTCTCCATAAACAGCACCACAAACACACCTGAAGGTGTGTTTCGCTAATCTCTCAGGCTCTTAATCCAATGAAACCACAAGACTAACTCCCACCCATTAGAGTTTGTGTTTCTCTGACATACAGCCTTTGTGATTTTTTATGTTTTAGATATCACTACCCAAGTCCTTGCTCGTCTGTGAAAAAGGCTGAGCTTGGTGACAGCTGAATGAAGGGCATCCAATGCCCAAAGGATGATTCCCACCTCCTCTAACAAACAGCAGGCACCATTTACAGAGGAAGGTGACAGGAAGAGAGAGGTGTCTGCCACCAAAATTCTTGTAACTTTTACAGAACAAATTTCCCTAATTCTTCAGGCTTCAACAGCACATACTTATGATCCTGCAAGAACATCTTGTTTCTGACTCCAGTTACCATTTCCTCTAAGTCATTCTGCAGGAGACCAAACTTTACTATTTTTCTGATAGTTTTGCAACCCTACCTTAAACTAAAACCGCAGGACGTTTTCATTTCATGAAATGACAATCTCAAACACTGACCTCAACCTTTATTTATTCCACCCTTTGCTCGAGGGTCTCCTGTTCACTTTCCAGGACTCACAATGTTGCATGCATTTTCAAACTGGTATTTCTGTTCCCACTGTCATACTACTGTACACCCACCCAAACCCTGCAAGGCAAACATTTATTGAGTATTTGCCATACTCCAAATACAAAGGCATATTTCAAGTCCCAACACTGCTGCGAGCGCTTCCCTTCTGTGTAGCAGGGAGATCTCCATTTTAACCAACAGCTGAAGACAGAAAAGTCCATTTGCTCCAAGTTTCCAAGTCATGTCTACATAGCTGTGACATAAAACAGATGAGAGCAGGCTGGAGAGTGAGAGCTCTTCAATTCATCGTGACTTTCCGGACGGTGGGGGTGCCAATCAACAGTGGATACAGGTACAACGATCACCACAAACTGTGTTAGGTGCTATGAAGAATTTAACACAGTCTGAGGTGCTGGCAAAATGATGAGTGGTTTCAGAGAAGTGGACAGAAAGGAACACTTTGACGTAGTGAGAACTCAGCCATGTAACTGAAACACTGACATTCATTATAAAGATAAAACATTCATAAACCAAAAGTTCCTGTGACTTTGGGAAACTTTCACGACTCCACTTAAAAATGGCTTTTTAAAATGAAATTCCCCAAAAGAGTACCCCCTCACCGTGTGCAAAAGTAACCCAAATAAATGATGCCCACTACGGCGAACAAAGCCTGCCATGACCATATTTACTGATGTTTAGTTTCATGAGACCTAAACCCGCTCTTTAAAAACACTAAGTCCGCCGGGCGGTGGTGGCACACGCCTTTAATCCCAGCACTCGGGAGAAAGAAGCAGGCAGATCTGTGAGTTCCAGGCCGGCCCGGCTACATCGCGAGTGAGATCCAGTTTCCAGTTAAAAAAAAAAAAAAGTACACTGGGGCCAATTCCACTTTGTGGTCCAGTAAACTGTACGGCATATCTACTCCACTAATTTATACAGATCCGTGACTAAAGTCAGCTTCACCGAAAGTCCGGCCTGGGGTAAAATGTACGGCTCCCTCTGCGAACGTCAGGGCAGGACCCCCCGGAAGGCCAGGTCTAGGCGGTAAGGGGAGCTCCACGCCGGGCGGAGGGAATTCAAAGACGCCCCGCGTCCCTAAAGTAACTTCTCTAACCTGTACACGGACGCGACAGCGACCGGCTTCTCAGGACAGGGGTGGCCCGGGGCCGGTGGACCCAGAACTTTGGGAGACCGGGCAGGGGCGGGCGGAAGCGCCCCGCGGGGCTCGCGTCTCACCTTGACCAGCCACACGCCCGTGTTCTGTTTGGCGCCCGTCAGATCGAGTTCCCCGCGCTCCGCCATGAGTTTGTCGCGTGCGGCGGCGGCGTGCGCGCACGAGCAGTGGCTCCGAGCTGAAGGACGGAGAGCGACGGGACCGGAGGCAGCCGCTGCAGCAGGGAGACCGCGAAAAGCCGGCGGCGCTCACCGGCCGGGATACCAGGAACTTGAGGAAAAGAGCACGCCGCGGGGCCAGGAACTGCGCCTGCGCACGGGCAACGTCGGGACGGCGCGCCGCAAGGGACAAATCTCCGGCTTCGGGAACTTCTTAGGTGGGTGTGACTTCTGGGTGTGACTTCTGGCTGTGGGATTGATTCCCAGTGGTGGAAGTGCGGGGAAACAAAGAGCCAAATCCTGAGCAGTGCCTTGAAAGACGAGCCCTGAATAACTGAAGAAAAAGTACAGAGGAGCTATGGTTTAGGTAGACAAAAGCTGTGTGTATTTACTGTTACAGGAGTCTTAACAGTTCTTATTAATAAAATCAATCCTGGAGCCAGGTATTGGGGTGAACACTGGATGATCAGAGAGACGGAACAAGCCACAGCTAACCTCACCTGGCCAACTTCTCAGCTGATCCCGTTTCCTCTGACTGGAAGCTTCTGTGTCCTCATCCCAATGGCTCTCAGCTGAACTGCTACTCGAAACCTAAAAGCTTAACCAGCCCGGCCCAAATCTGGTTATTTAACTGCCCTGCTTAAACAGTTTCCTCTCCCTCTTGCCTTTGGAATAAATTCCACCCTCTGCTTCAACTGAGTCCTCTCAGTTTGAACTTCTGTACCCAGTATTCCATACACCCACCACACCAATCTGGTCTACATACTTGAAGACCCCAGGACCTTCCTCATGCCATTTCAGAGCCTCTTTGAAACCAATTCCTGTGCCTTAGATACCCTATTTTCCCTTTACTTTACTCTGGCCCTGTCCTTTGGTTGGCAAACTTCTGCTTATGAACAAAGACTAATGGAAATGTTACTTCCTGAGAAACTCCCCCAGAGGAAGTTCTATTTTCTCAATTTCACAGCGTGTGATACTTAACACTGTACCATGAGATGCCTACCTTTGTTTTCTAGACTACTAACTGAACTGCTCCTAGACAAAAATATTGCTTTCCCCCCAGATTTACTGACGCACAATGGAAGAATACGAAATAGTGCTTTATTCATTTTATGTGCATAACATCCAGCACAGTGTTTAACATACTCTGGGATGTCAGTAGGCTTTGGTTGAATGAACATTTGCTGAAGAGAAACAAACAGTAAGGTATGGGAAGAATGACAAGTAATTTATTGAATCACACACCAGAGCTATGCACAAAATTGCAGAAAGTCTGTATCTGTGCAGCAGAAGGTCTGGGAAAACTGTCAGGTCTCTGAGATCTGCTGGCAAAACTAACGTGATGGGAAAGACCAGGCACGCGCTGAAAAGGAAGGTTGCATTCTCTTATAACAGCTTGGAAAACAGGCCTAAAGTGCACAAAAGGCAAGCATATGAGAACTGCTTTAGGCTTAGTTCAAGTAGAAGAAACAAATTAGACTGTGAGAGAAGGAAAGCAAAGGAGCCTGGCATGCCCCAGGAATGGGCTTCAAAGATTAGGTACTTGCATTGATCATATGCAGGTTAAATGAAGCATCTATGATGTACTGTCCAACTTACAGAGCTCACAGTGAGATATGGTGGTTTGAATGAGATGCCCCCTCATAGACCAGGCATTTGAATACTTGGTTCCCAGTGGTGGCTGTTTGGAGAGGCTTAGAAAGTGTGGCTTAGTAAGTATGTCACTGGGGCAGATTTCGAGGTTTCAAAAGACTCACAGCATTTTGAGTGCACTCTTTTAACACGCTGCCTGCAGCTTGAGATGTGAGCCCTCAGCTCCCAACTGCCAGCTCCAGTCAGCATGCCTACCACCTGCTGTCCCCACCATTATGGACTCTAACCTTCTGGAACTGTAAGCCCAAAATAAATTCTTTCTTCAGCAAGTTTCTTTGATGATTGTGTTTTATCAAAGCAATGGGAAAGTACCTAATACACAGTTGGTACCAGGGAATGAGTTAATTGCCCTGAAAAACCTGATCATGCTGGTTTTTGGAGGACTGTGGGAGACTTTGGGACTGTGGACTAGAAAAACAGTTGAAGCCGGGCGGTGGTGGCGCACTCCTTTAATCCCAGCACTCGGGAGGCAGAGCCAGGCGGATCTCTGTGAGTTCGAGGCCAGCCTGGGCTACCAAGTGAGTTCCAGGAAAGGCGCAAAGCTACACAGAGAAACCCTGTCTCGAAAAACCAAAAAAAAAAAAAAAAAAAAAAAAAAAAAAAAAAAAAAAAAAAGAAAAGCAGTTGAGTGCTGTAAGCAGTGCTTAAAGGTCCATCCTAATGGGTGCTTGGAAGACAGAGTTTAAAGCAACAGCCATTTCTAGTTCACTCTGTTTCCTGCTTGTGGATGTGAGCTCTTGGTTATGCCTGACTACTGCCACCCCGTCTCCATTGTGCTGATGATGGACTTTTATCCCTTGGAAACATGAACCCCAAATAAACTCCTGTTGTAGATGTAGCAGGAATTTTTTTTTTAATGCCGAATGCTGTTTATTGAAGGAGGGAAGAGGTCTTAAATACAGGCTTACAGCACAGTGGGAGAACCCCAGAGGGCAGAAGTTTGCTACCGATGTTTTACAATCTTGCATCTAAGCTGTTAATGCCCATTATGCAGGATACACAGACAAGGAACTACCCTTAAGCATTCAGGAGGGTGGAACCCAGCAGGGAATTAGCATAGGGAGAATATCAAGGTCAACGTCAGCAAGCAAGGCAACAGTTACCCAAAATGGGAGCTAGAGCCCTACAGGTCCCCCTTTTACTAAAAAATGAGCTTCTGACTTGGGTTTCGTGGGAAGTCAGCAGGTCACCTTACCCGTCATGAAGATGCCTGCCCAGGCCACACAGGTGCTCTGTCTTAGGTTGGTGAGCGCCCCCCAGGTATTACCCGTCTCTGAATACTCATTATCATACAGGCTCAATCGAGTGTGAGCTGCAGTTAACTGTTACCAAAGATCTCAAAGTGGCACTGGGCTTGCAACCTGTGTGTTCGACACAGAAAAGACCAACAGAGGTCCTATCCCACCCATAGCCAGTAGGCTAAAGGCAACTGAGCCATTCCCTTCCTTAACGAGCCTTACTGCAAATTGGAGTCCTTGTAAGATGGTATCCCAAAATCAAATGAAACTTGAGTTTATAAATTTATAATTTTCAAAGCCAATCAAAATGTATATAACTATTGAATTAAATTTATCATGCCCAATAGAATGAAAGATTAACTAACTGTTGTAGCTACTTTTGCTGCCAGGGTCTCCACTGTGCTAGCTGTAGTAAGCAATTATGAAATGGTAATCCCAGAAATAGTAGCAGCGGTGGCCGCCACTGCTATAACAGCAACAACAGCAGCAGCAATGTCAAATTCTCTTCTGGAGCGTGTGGACATCCACTGGCATGGATACAACTCCAGGAACACGAACCGCCAAGGCCCATTTTTCTTGATCCCAGCACGACTTAGGCTGGCAGCTCTTCTGGAGAATCCAAAAGCATGGCTACAGTTCCTAGGCTTATGTTAATGCTTGCCAAAGCTGGCCATATTGGGCTTTCAATCCCCATTGGCATCGGAAGTGGAGAGTTTTTCATTAAGGCCCAATAGGTCTCTGTTATGTTGGGTTTCAGCAGCAGTCACAGGGCGAACACAGCACTCAGGAATCCAAAGAGGAACCTCATTGTCCTGAGGAAAGACATAAACAGAACCCTGGGCCTACACCAACACCAGATCGGAACTCCTTCAAGTGCTAGTAGAAAGATCCTCCCATCGTTCCAGAGGGTGATTTGCAACAGGAGACCTCCAGGTAGCAGGAATCTTAAAAAGTTCTTATTAATAAGATCAAACCTGAGCCAGGTATTGGGATGAATACTGGAAGATCAGAGATGCAGAACAAGCCACAGCTACCTCACCTTGCCAATTCCTCAGCTGATCCTGTTTCCTCAGACTGGATGCCTCTCAGCTTAACTGTGCTGCTCAAAAACCTAAAAGCTTAACCAGCCAAAATGCTTCTAGTTTCTGGTCTTCACGCCTTATATATCTTTCTGCTTTCTGCCATCACTCCCTGGGATTAAAGGCTTACTTCTTGGGATTAAAGGTGTGTCACCATGCCTGACTGTTTCCAGTGTGGCCTTGAACTCACAGAGATCCAGAGGGATTTCTGCCTCTGGAATACTAGGATTAAAGGCATGTGCTACCACTGCCTATCCTCCCTGTTTAATATTGTGGCTGTCCTGTTTGTTTAATGATGCAAAGATATGTTTTATTAAATAAAATTCACCTCCGGTAAGGAGGCTGAGTCAGCAACTAGCTGACAGAAAGTGGTAGGGAGGAGCCAGATGAAAAAGAGGATTGAAAAGGAGGAGCCAGAGAAGGAAGAGAACATCAGGGGCCGCTACCCAGCTACACAACCAGCATCGGAGTAAGAAAGAAAGGCACACAGGAATAGAAAAGGAAAAGCCCAGAGGCAAAAAGTAGACCTGATAAGTTAAGAAAAGCTGGTAAGAAACAAGCAAAGCTAAGGCCGGGCATTCATAATTAAGAATAAGCCTCCATGTATGATTTATTTGGGTGCTGGGTGGTAGGCTCCCCAAAAAAACAAAAACAAACAACAAATTCCTCCTTCTATAAATTGCCTTGGCCGTGGTGTTCTATCACAGCAACAGAAAAATAACTGATGTGCCGGGCGGCGGTGGTGCATGCCTTTAATCCCAGCACTCGGGAGGCAGAGGCAGGCAGATCTCTGTGAGTTCAAGGCCAGCCTGGGCTACAGAGTGAGTTCCAGGACAGGCTCCAAAGCTACACAGAGAAACCCTGTCTTGAAAAACCAAAAAAAAAAAAAAGAAAAAGAAAAAGAAAAAGAAAAGAAAAGTAACTGATGCATTGGATTTTAATCTATACATGGGCTCTCCCAGCCACACTGAGATGAACCTTGCTGAGAAGGAACAAATTGTTCCTAAGCCAGAAGAGGATGTTGCACAGAAGAAAAAGACATCCTAGAAGAAACTGAAAAAACAAAAACAAAAAAAACCACTTATGACATGGAAATAAATTCAGCATACAATAAATTCAATTAAAAGTTGAAAATAAAAAGATTAGGAACTTAGCTTTGATTTGTGGGTCACTGTAGATAAATTT